AATAATTATAATTTATGAAATTAAATCAAGGTTTACATATTGAAAACAACTCATTAACAACAAAAACACAATTCAGTCTCACTTAGTGCTTATTTTGCAGTTTACCAAATTTGCCAAAAAATATGAAATTTGCCAAAAAGTGTCCCAGTTTAACTGATTTCACCCTGGAGATAGTGTCTGTCTCCCGAAACCAAACTGGAAGCTGGTTCCACAGAAGAGGGGCCTGAAAACTGAAGGCTCTGCCTCCCATTCTACTTTTAAATACTCTAGGAACAACAAGTAGGCCTGCAGAGCGAGAGCGAAGTGCTCTAATAGGGTGATATGGTACTACAAGGTCATTAAGATAAGATGGGGCCTGATTATTTAAGACCTTGTATGTGAGGAGCAGCATTTTGAATTCTGGATTAAACAGGAAGCCAATGAAGGGAAGCCAAAACAGGAGAAATATATTGCAGAATTTTGGATCAAATAAAGTTTTTTTAGGGAATTTTATAATAATAGTAATCAGTTACAGTAGTCCAGCCTAGAGTAATCAAGTCATGAACTAGTTTTTCAGTGTCACTAATTGCTTCCTTGGCGCAGTAGTTAGTCTCAGATGGTCTCACCACCTCTGACTTCTGACCTCAGCTCGGTTTTTGCCCTCGCACCGTGACCAATTTTGGCGTGGAAGATGATGTCAGCGTTTCAACCACCTTTGGTTCCTTCAGGTTCTCAGAAGTTGTGGTTTTAGTGGACTACAGACGTCAATCTTGTCTTTTTGTGAGATAAATCACGATCTCTGTCTGTTCTGTGTTGAAATTAATAGCAATCTTGTCTGTGAGATATTTCATTCTTTGCCTGTTGTCTGAGTTACCTGGTTGTGCTCAGAGGACAACACATCTACTCTGATTGGAACAGTTTTCTGATGGGGCTCCACAGGGTTATGTGTTCGGACTGCTGAGTTATTATCACAGTGAGCAAAAGCAAAATAAAGTCTTAAAATTACACATAAAATTAACCAGCTTAAGAATTTTTTTTTCTAATGGCAACTAGATGAATATTTAAGTCACAGTGCTGCTTGCTGATCATCACCTCTCTTCCTAACCTAGCTCCAACAACTCTTTCCCAAATCTTCCCGGTGTGGCTCATCAGCTTTATCCCTCTGTAGTGACTACAGCTCGGCTCGGAGATTGTGTCAAACATCTCAGAAAGAAAGCCACTGCACTTCTTTAAGTTTAGCAAAGACGAAGCTTCTTCACTTCTGAGGTGAAACGACTTCACAAACCGTAAAGCAGTCCAGCCGCTTTGGTTCCACACTCCTCAGACCACCATGACCGGATGACTGCGAGCCTACAGACCTAAGCCTGGTCACAAAGCTCTCTCTCCTACACACCTGCCTCCACCTCTGCTCTAAGGTTATGTACGATTTGTAGCCAGTGGCCTGGCTGTGTGCTGCCGTCTGTGATTGGAAGAAGAGGCTTGAAAAGGAAGTTATGAACGGCTGTGTGAAAGTGAAAGAAACTAGAAACAGACGACTTGAGCGCCCTCTGCTGGAATCAAGTTAAACAGCAGCACAGACTCGCTGTGATTAACCAACGAAATTAGTTTAATCGGGATTTTAAAGAGTTTTAAAGAGTCTACTTAGCACAGCTGTACTCTTCCGTTTGTGTGAGGTTCACTGATATCGCTGCTGGGTGGGGGCAGAGACCCTGTTTACCTGTCGGAGCTGTGGCGCTGGCTTCCTGCAGGTGTGTGGTGGGCTTCCTGCTCGCTGGGTGTGTGCTGGTCCATATCTTCTATGAGGACCCCCGCTGTTTGTTTGCCGTGCTCTGCAGAGCTGCCGTCTCAGTTTGTCCCACTTTAACCTTTTTAAAGAACAACGCCCGACGTCCAAGGGCAGAGGGAGGGGGTGCAGGGCTGGAGTCCAGGTGAGGCTGAGGATGCCCCGGAGACAGGAGTGGTGGGAAAAGCTCGCCGGCCCTGTTTGATAAGCTGCGGTTCCCTGAATGATCCGGAGAGAACAGGCCGTGGTCTCCGGCAGGACTCGCTGACTCTGTCAGGTGTTTCCGGATTCTCCTTCCTACAGGTGAGCGCAACTGATGTGCGCAGTAGAATCATACTGTCCTGCTAACCCAGAAGCAGCTTCCTGTCATGTTTGATGTCCAGATAAGTGACTCCGAGTTTCCTGCGTTTATTTTACCGAGCCTCCGCCCCGCTGCTTCCCACTTGACCTCTTCCTCTTTTTGTCTCCTCCCAGTGGAAGCTGCTGTGGATGGTTTGGCCCCTGCTGAGGGGCGAGTCTAGGTGACTCCGTCTGAACACCAGGACGGTTTCATAACTCACCACGTCTCTTTAGCTTCTGCTGCGTTTGATCGATGATGTGTTTTTAGTGATGGGCAGATGAAGCTTCATGAAGCACTGAAGCTTTTCATCCAATTGGTTCACCCCAACGCGAAGCTTCATGAAGCTTCATTTGCTCTAGCAGGACACCTACTGGACGTAAAAATAATAGCTGGCATGAATTTGAAGAGTGTGGCATTTTGCACACAGCCTGTAAATGTCAACAACAAAAGGAGTGTGTAAAACATGTATATTGTAGTGATGGCAGTATACTGTGTATATTTATAGTGGCAGTATGGGAAATGATTATTTGGAAATGCTTGAAATGGAAATGATCATTTACTGTGAGGTGAGGTGTGGTTGGGGTGTGGACAGTAGTTGTGCTTTTGTAACGTTGAGGTATGGACAGCTACACACTGAGGCTTTGAGCCTCAGTCCTGCCTGTTCACATTTTATTCTGTAAAAACTAAATTTTCACTGCTTTTATGACCTTTTTAGTGGGGAGAACATAGCTAGGATCTAATGATTTAACAAATCTTTTGAATCCTTTGTCCTCCACAATGCTAAATGGCTGGGAGTCCTCGATCACCATGCTGACCAGGTCTTCATCTATTTGAGATTGTTCTCCTGAGGAAAGACAATAAAGACAAAGCACAAATATAAATACCACACATGTAACTTATAACAGTTGTATAATATTGTTATATCATTTAGTAACATTACAGCATGCTATATTATCATTGCATTTGATGGCTCACCTGGTCTTGCTCCACAATCGGTGTTCCCCTTATTCTCATGCAAAGCTCTGTAGTGCCTAAGCATGGATGAGGTGTTGTTGTTATATCCCAGCTCCCTGGCACATAGCAAACACTTCACCTTGTACAAAAGTCAAGACAGCTCAACATAAATTGTATTGCACCATCAGTATCATGAAAATACATCTTCTGTAGAAATTTACATACCTTGTTGGGAGGAATAAGATCAAAATGTTCCCACACAGGGGAGGACATCCTCCTCTTCTTAGCTGGCTCCATTCTCTCCTGACTTTCTCTCCTCACTCTCATAAACCTCCAAACGGTCTCCAAACTCTCACTAACAACTCTCCATCAAACACCCACATTTTGAATGAAGTCTGAGGGTTTATATCGCTGTCATAGCTCGCGGCAAAGTTCAAACCACTTCATGAACCAGTCACGTGGTACAGCCGGGCAGCGAGGCTTCGGACGTCATCATTTTCAGCTCCTCCCATAAATGAAGCAAGCCTCGATACGCGCTTCGCGGAAACGCCCCCTCCATTACTCGACACACGCTCCGAAGCCTCGATACAGAACGTCCCATCACTATGTGTTTTCCCTGAACGACGCTCAAAGTTCCCCCTGATCGCTTCACTCTATCCCACCGTCAGTGTTCACACAGCCACGCACAACGCTGACGTGACATTTCAGGATAAGTAACCACTCGGCTGTGTCCTTCATATGTTAAACACGCAGTTACTAACCCGTTTAAAACACACACACACACACACACACACACACCGACCCCTCATTCCTCAGCATTTTAGACTGAGTTATAAGTTCACGTTTTTAGTGTTGAGACAAATGAATGCAGACAACATTTAGATGACTCCGGGTTCTCTCGTATGTACTGAAACTCTGCTCAGTTTCAAATGAAATTTTAATGGACAGATGCAGATCGTTCTCCTGAGCATGGGTCAGTTCTTGGTCGGTTCTCTTCCAGGTGAGGTGAAGGACAAAAGGAGAGTTTTGAGGTTGTGGAGGTTAACGGTTTATAAAGAAGCTTGAGAGCCACCTGTGCAAGCTGGCTTTCATGTACTTTGAGGTGTTTCTGCTGTTTCAGCTGCCAAGTCTCATTTTTTATGAAGATAAATATGAAAATAAATAAACTTATGAAGCATTGTATTGTGATTCATGTAAATAGTTAACACAGATAATTGTCAACATGATTTGAAAACCTGCAAAGACATCAAGTAAACTGAGTGGACTCTCTTACTGTAGCTTTGCATGACACAGCTCAGAATGATCAAGGTTTGCACAGCAGGTAGGCGGGGCTTCTCCCCTCTCTGTGATAAACTGAGTGTTTAGAGCGGCCTGCAGTCTGAGCTCTGGGCTCACTGTCGTCACTTCCAGAGTGTATGTTTGTTCTCTCTCCCTGAGCCTGGTTCTGTTTCCAGAGATTTCTTCCCGTCGCCAGGTGCTTGCTCTTTGCTCATGCTCTTAGCCTTAGTGTACAAAATGTGTTAAGGTGATCTTTGTTATGATTTGGTGCTATATAAATAAAACTGAATTGCTGTACATCAGCTGTGGAACACCAGCTCATGTGCTTTTTAATTGAGAGCAGCAGAGGCCAGCTGATCACCGCTTCACAAGCATCCGTACAGAAAGGCTCCGCCCAGATTTGAACCCAGGACCAAGGGGAAACCCCTGTGCTGCCCCACAGGTTCACGAAACAAGTCATCATGTCACTTATTTCTCAGTGAATCTTTTCTTCATGCTGAACTTTTGGACCTGATCCTAGGCCCCGCCCAGCAGCCAAATCCCACTTTAACCCCTGCTGGCACAGTGTGAACGGTCCCTGTGACACTGCACCAAAGAAGTCAATACAAATCATTAGTGGATGAAGCAAAAAGAAGCATAACACTGGGCACGGCCATATTTAGGTTTTTTCTGCATTTTATTGAGTAAAAATTATATATGCTGCAATAGAAAGTACACAAAAATACAGCAATGTTTTCCTCTAATAAAATAAAGTGTAAAAATGTTTTTTTTTTGGCTTTTTCATAGAAGATTTATAAAAAGGTAAAAGAAAAAATTTCAATGGGATTATAGGTCACACACAGGCGTCCTCACTTTTCATAAAAAAAACATCAATAACTTCTTATTAATACGAGCTACTCTGCACTAGAACATTAGAAAGCGAGCTTTATACTGTGTTAATATAAACTATCATATAAAATGTTTAAAAAAACCTTTTTTTTTGTTTTCCAGCAAAAACATTCAACGAGTTCAGCAGTTATTAATGAAGCATGTAAACATGAAGCTTTTGGTTTGTGAAAGGCCGTTCAACTCAGGAAAAAGATCCTGGCGGCACTTGAAGTGACTTTTGAAGCACCACATCTGTAAAAGAGCCTGAAAGTCAAAAAGGGTCTTTACAAAGACTTGTGCATTTTTCAAAATAAGATGCAGTTCTTAGTCAAATGTGAGTTAAAACACTTGTAAACCTTTCTATCGATACAGTACACATGAACACTGAAAAAAACCAAAGTTCCAGTGATAAAATAGAAGCTGTTTATACAGAGAGCAGACGGCTACAGCATGTGCTCACAGACGTGATGGTGTAGGAGGTAATACCCGTTCACTTTGGTTTGGTGACGGCCTTAAAACAGCATTTCAAAGTGTTCCAGTTAACAAAAAACCAACAAGTGTTTCAGGACTGCTACCCATAGATGGCGCTGTGTGGGGGCCGCGCTGAAACACGCTTCACCTGCGTCGCAGTGGCGTGGAACTTCTTTTGGGAAATCGACGATCTAGAATAAAGTAGTCACGAGAGTTCACATCATCTCAGAAACACGGATTTGGCTGAAACGTCCTTATCAGAAGGGCAGCAACAGAGAGCGCTAAGGACTCTAAAACACACGTTCTCCACACAGACCAGGAAACAGCACCGCGAGATGGTTTCTCGTTACGTTTTCTGGAAACATCGTCGATGAACAGCAGTTGTGACCTTTCACAGCCGAGGCGTGGTCACCAGTGTTTCTCCCTCTCGGTGGAATAGGAAGAGCTGTGAGGCCGCACACTAACGCTCAGAGACTCGCAGCCTTTCCTGGATTCTAATAAAATGGCATCTGCCTGTTACAGTAACAAAACATCTACAGTAGCACAAACGTCATGACTGCATTCATCAGCTGTCTGCAGACATTAACAGAAGATGAGCCCCTCCCTGCCTTTCAGTTTTTGTCTTTCTGCATCAGCTTGTTTCAAGTATCCAAAGAGATACTGAAGAGATCGCCGTGACAACATCCTGAGCGCGCCCACATCACGCTCGCTACAAACTCAAAATAAAACGCATTTCTTTATACACCTGTTCAACCTTTGACCTAAACGCTTGTTTTTAAGGCTCTCTCCTTCCTGACAAGCACAGTCTGCTCTGTTTATTTGAGCGTTCCTGACTACGCACCGGTTTAACGGCTGTCACACCAGCGAGTTACGTGGTGACAGAGAAAAGTCTGGACTGGCGTGTGAGGCAGTTCAGCAGCAGTGTTTTCTTTGGGTTCGACTTTGCAAACCTTTAACATGCAAAAACCCTTGAACAGACTGAAAGTCAGAGGAACAACGAAAAAGTAAAATACAGCCACTTGAAACTAGTGTGCTAATATAAAAAGGAGTAAACAAAAGTACTTTTATTTCCTAAAATCAACAAAGTCTATCAATATAAAGTGATCTAAATATAAAGCTAAATCCCGTCTCATGTTTCCAGGTTAGCTTCAGGTCAGTAGCTTATACCGATCAACTTCCCCAATGAGGGTTTCTTAGTTTGGTCCTTTAAAAACATCCTGCAGCAGTTTTACTGTCGAGTGCACTCACAAAGTTTGGACCAGAAGCCACAGCATCATTACGGCGGACTGACCTCGGCGGGTAAAACAGGAACAGGACGTCAGCTCCGCCTTTGGTTCAAGTCACTTTTAAAGTGTTTTTGTTTGAGATTGAAAGCTCGCTACTACGCCGTTCTCCATCTTCTAAAACTTCTAGGTGTTATCTTAAAAACGATGCCTTCCAAGAGCGTTTAAATGAAGCTAAAATCCTATTAAAGTCACGCTACAGTCCTAATGTTAACAAAGCAAAGGCATGGGTGTCATCGTTCCCTTTTAACTCCCCGATGAATGGCGAATCGCCCTACTGGCCTCCTTACCCATCTCACCTTTGCTCACCTGACTAGACTCCGCCCCCTCTGTTTCCAGGGCAGCCGACGTCTTTCTCTAAGCTGTGAATCTGTGTTAGTGTGTGTTATGTGGATCTAAGGCAGAATCCAGGCAGCATCTCGAACCGTTTCCCCGCCACGCTGACGTTTTGTCAAACCGGCCATTTGCCTTCCAAAATGTCCGACGGAGGGGAGGAAACGGCTGGCTGCTGACGGTTCTTGATAAAAAAGCTGGTGTGTGTGTGTTTGCTGGTGATGGCGGCTTTCTTCTTATTCACAGGCAAAGTAGTCTTTGAGCGGAGCGAACAGATGCCTGATGACGGGGACGCTCCAAGACCGGCCCAGGAGCTTCTGCCGGGCGCCGCGACCCATGTTGGACACGTCAGTGTAGTGGACGGGGAAACCAAAAATCCTGCAGAGGGGAGAAGACCAACCGGCTGAAGATGGTATATTTAAAGTTTTTGTGCACAGTGAGAAAGAAGACCGAGCGAATGCCGGTGTCGTCAGCACGTTAGCTGGGATGCATCGCACTGGACCCTTTCACAGTGTAACTGCCAAAAGCAGCAGCGCGAGTGTTGTCCGCTCACCTCTCCAGCTCGGTGCACCACAGGATGTCCTCCTTCCCGTTCATCAGCACGGGGAAGTGCTGGTCTTTCCCCTGTTTGATGGAGTTGGAGCGAGTAGTGATGGTGCGCACCTTTCCAAACTACGAGACAACAGACGCGTCGTCAGTCTAGCACACAAAACCTGCACGTGAAAACGTTTCTTTTCACGGTGTACGTGACCAACCTTTGCCACTCGGCCGTGATCCAGACAGTCCTGCAGCTGTAGCTTGTCCATCCCTGAGGCGCACAGGGGCCTGAAGCACAGGAGAGATCACACTGTTCACTCCGTCTGCCCTCACAATGCCGGGCGAGTTTCTGATGAAGCATCTGCTCACCTGTTCATCCCCGGCAGGTTTCCCCAGAAGTATCGAGCGCGGTGAGCAGCAGAGACCTCGATGGCATCAATCATCACAGGGTTACACTGCAAAGCAAGGTTGACAAATAACTGAATACATCCCATAATTACTCATGAACACACAGACGGGTTTTTACACCACATGTTCTCAGAGCCGTGAAAAATGATCCAGATCAGCAGACGGACATTTTTTTAAAATCTCAAAACATTTTTAAATATGTCGAGTAAATGATGTTTGTAAGCTCGTCACAGTAGGAAGGACCGAGGCGTCGTCTTTTCATCTTTAACGGAATCTTAACGTTGTTTAGACGTCCTGCAGATTCAGTTTTCAGGCTTGTGCAGGGAGCAAAGATGTTTCTTCCCGGCGCTATCATCATCTGTATATTCAAGTTACTTGTTTTCTTATGTATTTGAGCTCTCAAACTTGTCCTGAATTTACACCCAAAACGTTTCCACCGCTCCTCCTGCTCGCGATCGTGGCTCAAGAGTTGGGAGTTCGCCTTGTAATCGGAAGGTTGCCGGTTCGAGCCCCGGCTCGGACAGTCTCGGTCGTTGTGTCCTTGGGCGAGACACTTCACCCGTTGCCTACTGGTGGTGGTCAGAGGGCCCGGTGGCGCCAGTGTCCGGCAGCCTCGCCTCTGTCAGTGCGCCCCAGGGTGGCTGTGGCTACAATGTAGCTGCCATCACCAGTGTGTGGATGTGTGTGTGACTGATTGTAGATTAAAGCGCTACACAAATCCAGGCCATGTACCATCTAACTGCCAGCTGAGTCTCGGGAGGTGTTAGCAGCACCAATGTTACGTCTGTAACTCACACCACAGACCAGGCATGTAAATCCACTTTTAATATCTACGGTCATAAATTAAAATAATTCAGCTCAGTTTCTGAGGATTTATATTCATATAATTTCACGATTTTGTGGCTCCCGGATCACTCGGAGTACGTCACTGAAACAAGGACACCATATGGACCAAATACACTACAACAGATTTCAGGGCAGTGGCTGTTTGACCATCTGAGACATGTTGAATCTACGTGGTACAAAAGTCCACCTGAACAGATGTGTGACTAACAAGCAGACGAAATGAACCAATGAGATTACCCCGCCGATGGATGGAGAAAGTGCCAGCAGGCAGGGGGCCTGGGGGTACCTCTGTTACATCTAACAATGCTGTGAATACAGCCATTCCCCAACTCTCTGTCAGTGGTACTCATGGCCATTGATCAGTGGGCTTTGATCAATGACCATGAGAATTAATGATCATGTAAATGACCTCCCAGCCCATTGTTCCTTCAGTGGGCTGGTTTCAGTCATTATGCAAATGTACTGTTCATAACAGCGGTCCCCAACCCCCGGGCCTCGGACCGGTACCGGTCCGTGAGTCGCTTGGTACCGGGCCGCGAGAGTTGAGGCTCAGGTGTGAAATGTCTGGTTTTCATGGTTTTTATCGGTTTTCAGCGTTATTTGGTTATCGTTTTTATCAATAACTCGGTTTTCCTGGGTCTTTTCACGTGTGTTATGAATAAATCTTCTTTTTTTCAGTACTGCTACTAGTTTTATTTTGTTGTATTTATCCGCGACACCTTAAAGGCCGGTCTGTGAAAATATTGTCGGGCACAAACCGGTCCGTGATGCAAAAAAGGTTGGAGACCGGTGACTGGGGAAACCTGCAGTCAGCTGAGACTGAAGAAGTCACCTGATGATGATGATGACGTTCCCAACACTGACTGTTAGCATTGACAACCTGCTAGCTGCAAATAATCATGTGCAGTTCTTAAAGCAATACCAACTACATTTTTAAATCTTAATATATTAAGTAATCCAAAGTACAGGAAGTGCAGAATTATTAGGCAAATGAGTATTTTGTCCACATCATCCTCTTCATGCATGTTGTCTTACTCCAAGCTGTATAGGCTCGAAAGCCTACTACCAATTAAGCATATTAGGTGATGTGCATCTCTGTAATGAGAAGGGGTGTGGTCTAATGACATCAACACCCTATATCAGGTGTGCATAATTATTAGGCAACGTCCTTTCCTTTGGCAAAATGGGTCAAAAGAAGGACTTGACAGGCTCAGAAAGTCAAAAATAGTGAGATATCTTGCAGAGGGATGCAGCAGTCTCAAAATTGCAAAGCTTCTGAAGCGTGATCATCGAACAATCAAGCGTTTCATTCAAAATAGTCAACAGGGTCGCAAGAAGCGTGTGGAAAAACCAAGGCGCAAAATAACTGCCCATGAACTGAGAAAAGTCAAGCGTGCAGCTGCCAAGATGCCACTTGCCACCAGTTTGGCCATATTTCAGAGCTGCAACATCACTGGAGTGCCCAAAAGCACAAGGTGTGCAATACTCAGAGACATGGCCAAGGTAAGAAAGGCTGAAAGACGACCACCACTGAACAAGACACACAAGCTGAAACGTCAAGACTGGGCCAAGAAATATCTCAAGACTGGTTTTTCTAAGGTTTTATGGACTGATGAAATGAGAGTGAGTCTTGATGGGCCAGATGGATGGGCCCGTGGCTGGATTGGTAAAGGGCAGAGAGCTCCAGTCCGACTCAGACGCCAGCAAGGTGGAGGTGGAGTACTGGTTTGGGCTGGTATCATCAAAGATGAGCTTGTGGGGCCTTTTCGGGTTGAGGATGGAGTCAAGCTCAACTCCCAGTCCTACTGCCAGTTTCTGGAAGACACCTTCTTCAAGCAGTGGTACAGGAAGAAGTCTGCATCCTTCAAGAAAAACATGATTTTCATGCAGGATTTTCAGCTCCATCACACGCGTCCAAGTACTCCACAGCGTGGCTGGCAAGAAAGGGTATATATTGGTTTTTGTTAAGTTGCCTAATAATTCTGCACAGTAATAGTCACCTGCACACACAGATATCCCCCTAAAATAGCTAAAACTAAAAACAAACTACAAACTACTTCCAAACACATTCAGCTTTGATATTAATGAGTTTTTTGGGTTCATTGAGAACATGGTTGTTGTTCAATAATAACATTATTCCTCAAAAATACAACTTGCCTAATAATTCTGCACTCCCTGTATTCAGAATACGTTACTCACAGTGGGTAACTTAACAGAATATGACCAAACTACATTTTGGGGCATGTAATCTGTAATCCGTAGTGGAATACATTTCAACAACACTGCCTCCAGAAACCTGCAGCAATCAAACATATCTGTCAGAACACACTTGTTGGAAATGTTGAGGAAGCAACTTTAAGCAGATTTCCTGAACTTTAACTCCATTTACTGCACAGGCCTGCTCTCCACCCATGTGACTGACCTCCAGGAACCGCGAGATGTCCCTCTTGTCGTTAATGGCCATGGCGACCACGTTCTCAAACATCCAGAAAAATGGGCGGTTCTCGCCGTCCTTGGGCTTGGCTTCGCTCAGAAGTCGATAAAACTCGAAGAACAACCTGCCCGTGCCTTCTGGAGAGACAAAAACCATCAACAGTCAAGAACGCTAAAATCGAACTAGGAATACGCAGGCAGATTATCGCTGCATCAGAAACAACCTTTAAAGAGTTAAACTATCACGCTGTGTGGCTTTAGTGCCTTTAAAAGAGTAGAAAATCACCAAAACACACGTTAAATATACCCAGAATGCACTCAGGGACTCACCGTACAGGCCCTTCCTGGCAGGATTGACGATGGAGAGGTCGTTGCAGGGACTTCCTCCGATCACCAGGTCAAACGGACCCCACTCCTGAATCTGAGCGAGATGACAAAATCAGACAGAACACAGTTCCTGTTTTCAATACGACAGGATGAGTTTAATGTTTCGGCCAATAAAAGAGTTGAAGTTTAAAACTAATCTGAATAAAAAGAGTGAAACAGCTGATTAAATAACGTTTAGGTAAACGTGAAGCAGCAGAGGGTACGATTGTCTGATTCGAAGGGTTGTGTCTCCCTGTGTTCATATGTGATGTTTACAATGATTATTAGAAAGAAAAGACTTTGCAAAGCTCCAGCTGATGCAACAGTCCAGTGCCGCCCAATATTCAGCGAATAAACGTTCATTATTAAAGAAGGAAGTCATCAACCGTTCCTGTTCTGAGGCTTGAACCTCGGAAGTTTGTCAATAATAAAAAGTGTAGAAACTTTATCCTCAACACGAACGCTGTTTAAACCGTCCTCTGAACACAACCGAGGAATAAGTGTGAAGAAGGGAACGTGACGCGGCGTGCCTCTTATGTACTTCCTGTTTTATTTTGGTAGTCCTGTGTTGCTTGTGCTTTGTCTTCAGTCTGACCTTCTCTCCTGATTCTACTTCTACATATATATATAGTCGACCTTAATCCTACAGAGAATGTGGTGATTTGATGGATAATTAAAGTCCGTCATATATCCACAAACACAACAAGCTGAAAGTCAGTGATGCTGCTCGGTTTGCAGTCCTGAACATCACGGCACAAGCAGGATTCTCTCTGATTGTGGAATAAAAGTATGAACGTGTGTTTATAAGTTACACTTGTGTTTGAATCCTGCAGCTTATCACACATTTGATTTCCATGTGTGACGACTGCAAGTGTCCAGAGTGAGGACAGACTGAGGGAGCCACTGCTGCACATCATCTGTGAGGCTTTGCAGCCCTGATGATCCACCAGGACAAACTCAACAGTGTGTGAGGAAGAGGAGGAGGAAGAGCCAGCAGCAGCTGACAGATGGAGAGAATAGACAGACTGTTCCCTGTTTGTGAAGGACTGCTAGGAAAGTTTAACATAACTGTCTGTGCTGAATCAGTCTTATTAGGTAATGTTCACATAATGTGATCATCCCAGTGTTTCCAGTGTGGGAGAAAGTACTCAGAGTACTCAGGGCCTTCAAGCTACACACTATGAAAGGCAGCAACAAGTTTAATGTTCAGAAACCTAAAGTCTGTATCAGCAGCAGGATGGAGCTAAAATAAATGTTGGTTTCAGTTCTATGAAGCTTTGAGTATTTTGGATCAGTAGCTGCTGTGTTTGTTGCATCATATTGCTGTAACTGTTTATATGCTTTATATATTCTGAGCTAAGTTGATCTATAGTGTTACATCATATTCTATAAGGATGTTATGTGTTTGTAGACTTTCTGCCCAGTTTGACCCATTTAGCAGACGTCAGCCTGTTTAAGGCTCTGATGTCTATTCTGTGTGACTTAAAGAATAATATTTGTCTCTTATGTATAACACATCTGTATATGCACTGTCACAGATACTTGACAGGAAACATAAATAACTGCGACTTGAATCTTTGCTGAAGCTCAGTGTTTGACCCAGAGTTCAAACTCACTGCTGTAATAACTAATCATGATACATATAATAACTATAACATTGGCCATATTATATTTACATTACACAGTGAGATGACTTTAGTCTCATGAACAACATCAGCTGATTGTTATTTACTAACTAATCTTAAATGACTGTTCAGCTCAACAATCATGTTTACAGTCCCGTGGTCTCAGCCTCAGATACTCAACTAATCAAAGTGATGTCATGACAAAAATTAATGACCAACAAAACATTTTGCTCCTTCATTTCTGTCACACAAAGCTGTATGTAACGTGTCTCGCGGTTAGTATCATGGTTGCTAGGCAACAACAGCACAACAAAGACTAGACCGACCATTTCACAGCATCGCACTTCCAACCTTCTCGGTCTTCGGAGGACGCGGCCCACGTAGACCGCGAAGGCTGCGTCCTCCAAGGCTGCAGACCCTGAGCTGGGACACAGCCCGAGTGTCCGTATGAGGAGTGAGCTTAACTGTTCGGACTCTGTGTTTGTGATAAAGGTATTACATTAAACTCTGGGTTACTTACTGAAAGTTTCACTTCAGCCATATTTGACTATAATTGTTGAGGTAAATCCACAGAGAGCTAAAGCTTTATGTTAATGCTCAGATGATCAGATTTAAGATTCCAGATCAGACCATCTAAGATGTTTTTAACAATATTGGATTTTTTCAAATACTTGATGTAAACTGATGAAAATAAAGTTTTTATTTATTTGTGTAAATAACCTCTTGTAGCTGACTGGCACCAGCTTCACAGCCCAGCAGGGGGCAGCAGACTGATTCTGTTTCACTGGTTTTATTTCAGTCAGTTTGAGCTCGAACATCAGGCTGAAAATACAACAAAGCAGAAATTCGTTGTCCTGCTTACATTTTTCTTGGTGATGTTCCTCACATCGTGGACGTACTTGATCTTTCCTTCATGCCTGACGACGCCCACTGAGATGGAGTCCTCGCACACCTCCGATGCCACATACTGACCCACCTTAAAACCCAGATCTCTCAGGACCAGGTAGCCTGGAAACAAACACGCTCATCTTTACATAGGAACACACACACACACACACACACACACACACACACACACACACACACACACAGTAGCGGCTCTGAGCTCCTCGCCTGTCTCTCTGAGCCGGCCATCCTTCAGAGGAAACACATAACTTCACCTGTGACCACACCTGACCACGGGTGGGAATGTAGCCCGACCACTAAACTGACTGCTCTCAGCAGTCGGCGTCCGTTAGGATCTGTTGCTGGTGTGTCGACCACCGCTGTTCTCCACCTCCACGTTGGACTGCAGCTGGTGACGGCAGTCCTGGTTCACCAGAACATGCAGCAGGTGGAGAATCTGTCCGTGAGCCGGTACGGTGACCAGAAGCAGGACCACCAGCTGCAGAACAACTTGGATGATTTGGAGTCAGTTTGCAGGACGGGAGACTCTCTGCAGAGGCGGCTGATTATTTATTTCAACAAAACACACCCTAAATATCTGCAGAGGGGAAAACGATGGTTTATTATTGAACCTAAGCCTGAGCTCGCCTTCATCCTCACCTGTGGCAATGCCGTCAAACAGGGACAGCACTCTGATTGGTCGTCTCTGCTCTGCAGGGACTGCTGGGTAAATCTTTGGCTTCTCCTGAAAGGCAAACAGAAAGCAACAGAAATGAGACCTGATGCTCAGCCGACGGGTCAGAAACCAAACGCAG